GAGTACGGAAAAACAGCTAGCATCGGGAGGGTATGGGATAATCGAGAAGGGCGTGGCGAATGCGCCAGTATGCTCTTGCTATGTATCTCTTCTTGTTCGTATTGGCTCACGTCACGCCCATTTCTCCCTGAGACTTTTGTATACACCATCGAGCTCGATGTGCCTGCTGATGTATAACTTGCCCGAGTGCACGGCCTCCAGGAAATCTCGGCTTTTCTTGAAAGGGCGAGCACCGACAATACGGGTTTTGTCCCACGCTTTGTGTCCGGCATCCAGGGTGTGCATGGCAACTTGAAACAAGCGGTCACGTCTTTTTACTGCCAGCTGATCTTTGTGGATTCGCACAGAGGCCAATTTTCCCGTCTGATTGCAATAAACGTCATCAGACATTCCATACGGGATCTTGTAGATAATTTCTTTCTTAAGAAGAAGAAGAAGAAGAAGAAGAAGAAGAAGAAGACTCGATCGCTGGGGCAATGCGTTTATTCGCCTGACCTTTCGAAATCCGTCGCGGATTCATCATCAGAGACCTGAGTAGGAAACATTAGCAGAAACGGGACCCGTTTCTGCAACTTCTTTCTTTTCCAAATATTTAACCCCATCCTTGGGGTGTACCAGTTGGCCGCGTGAAGTCGTCATTGGCTTATGTGCCGCCCGAATGTTATGCTTCCTTAGGTGTCTGTCAACTATTTCAGACCCGTTCTTGATGTAAGGAAGGCTTCGCCAAGTGAACGGTTTGGCCGATTGATTGCCACTGTGTAAGACCTTCTTCCTCGACTCGTGTTGTCTCATGCATCGGCGAACGAATTCCCGCTGATAAACGTTTCGAGAGAATAATTCGAACAGGTATTTAAGTTCGATCTGATAGCCGTCGTTGTCCGAGCAGTGCGTTCTTGCTCGAGTTAATGGACTGTTGACAGCGTCCGTTTTATGAGAGCTAGGATGATACCTCTCATAGTTTATTTTGACTTCCGCATGCATTTCTTTGCGGTAGATTGACGTGCGCAATATTCCATTAATTTTGCGCTGTACAAGGAGGTCGAAGAACGGTAGTTTGGTGTCAGCTTCTTTTTAGAGTGTAAATGTTATCCCGGGAAGCGTGGCGTTGATTACGTTATGCAAGTATGCCAGTTGATCTTTTCATACGATAACGAAGGTATCATCGAAACATCGCAGCCATAATTTGGGATTCACAAATGGCAGAGTTATAGCCTCAAGTCTCTGCATTGTCACCTCGGCCAAAAAACCCGATATAGGTGACCCCATGGGGGTTCCTTTCGGCTGCTGGCATTACTTATTTTTGAACGAAAGGCTTGTCTCTAGGCATAAGTCCAGAAGTTGAAGTATGATAGTTTCAGCAATATCCATTGTATGAGATTAAAGTAATTCTTGTGTGCACTGCTCTGCTACACCCAGTGGTATGGACGTGAACAAAGAGACGACGTCGAAGGAGACCATTATTTTGTCATCTGAAATTGTAATTCCTTGCAGTTCCTTTAAGAATTCTAGGAAGTTATCGATTGAAGTTTCGCAATTATTTGTGAGCGGGCGGAGATGATGAAATAACCATTTCGAAATGTTGTACTTAGGTGCACCGATCAACGACACTATCGGTCGCAGAGGAATTTCAGGTTTATGAAATTTCGGTAATCCATACATCTTAGCGATGTTTGGTTCCTTTTGTTTGTACACTAATCTGTGTTTCAGGATGTACCCATTCTGGATTACATCCTTGATTGTTTATGAAAATGGGTGAGAGGAAAAGGCGCTCTCGAGAACCATAGTTGTAATATGGTGACGTTTCAAAAGCGGGAAATCTTCAATCGTTGGAGTTGTGAGTGGTATCTTACCTCATTGTATTTAAAGGCGATGTTTAACAAGGCGTACGCATTTATAGGCGGAAATTAGACGACCAGAGACCCTTAATCATTGTGCCACTTGATACAGGGAGGAAGTTGTCAGATTAATTTCGGTCAAGGACATCCTCGTCGGGCGTGGTGTTCGCACGTGTGCAGTTGTCCCCAGTATCCTCATTAACCCTTACTGTCGTCCCGGCGTGGAAATCTTGCTTGCGCTCGCCCGTCCGTCTAGTTTCACACTTACATAATTAGTGGATGATCTGGCTGAGGCGATAACTGCTCTTTAGTCTGGTCCGGCCTTGACGCGGCTGCGTCGTAGTCCTTCGTGCAGTTGCACGTGCTCTGTTTCACGACAGGCCTATGTTTCCGTTTGCTCCTTTGCTAACTGAGCTGTCTTCGGAGGGCTTACTAGGTGGTGAGAAGCGCCACAGATCTGTTAATATTGGTTCTCCCCTGTACCAGGCCTCAATTGATTCCCTAGAGACGTTATCATTTCCTTGCCCCAGAATTTCGGCATTCGCGCTTTTGACTACCCTCATGTGTTCCACAACTCGGGTCCACAATCTTTCTCAGTAGCTCCAGTGTAGTCGACTACGCAAGAATTAAATTTGACCCGGTAGATGACGTTTGCAGTTTTACCTGCTGACAGAGCTGCCTCAGGTATCATAAAAGTTATCGTATTCTTGGCTCTCCCAATGGTTTAAACAAATGCCTCCAAAAGGGCGTCAGTGTATATCAGCGCCCGCTATAATTTTGGTTGGTCATTCGCCGGACTTCGGTTTGATCGGGACTACCAGCCGCGTTCGATAAAGTTGCGAGGGTACCCGTTTGCCATGTAGAACAAACGACAATCCCACTGGCGTCCCTTTGACCCTCTCGAATGTTGTCCCCTCGAAGGTTAACTACGTCTTTAGCAGAATGTTAGGAGTTGCACGAGATGTCTTGTCAGAGAAATGAGTGATGAACGAGATGTAAAAGAGTGGTTACCGCAAGATTCTATGAATGGTCAAAGCTTAAGCCAATAAGCATCACCTGCCTTTAATTATCTGGTCGATAGTGGCTGTCTATGTTCTGTCGCATCTAAATTGATCTGCTTGTTAGTGCATGTATTGTCAGAGTGAATTGGCTTTGGGAATTCGTGGCCCTTTCTAGTTGGCAGGCGTCAATGATTTCAGTCTTCTTTCATGCAGATGTGTTTGTGTGTCCAGTTTATGCATGGCAAGCTGGGATATTCGGTCTCCTCTACTCATCGCTAACTGGTGTTCAGGTATACGGGTGGATAGAGATTTCCGAGTATGCATCACAACTGGTATACGGCATTTTGTAGAGGATTCCTCTTCTGTTTAAATATATAAGCCTGTCCTCTGGCCGTATAAGCTGGATGCGTAAAGTATTTTTGTGTTTGTGCGTAATTCGTATTTGGCGTTTCATTAGCTGTCTTTTGATGAATTCAGATACATTCTTAACATACGGGAGGATTGTCAGTTCATTTTCTTTGGTTCTTTGTAGCTCTGAAAAGATATTTTTTAACCAATGTATAACCGGCAAACGTTAGGAGTGCAGAATACGCGTATTTCTAGCTTATTAGCTTTCGTCAGCTGCATATACCCAACTCCACTATAGCCACAGAAACTGCCGCTACACTCCAGTTTCGAACCCGCGACCAGTGAGCTAGAGTCGAACGTCCTATCCACTGAGCCAACGGGTCGATGTCTTGCCAGTTATCGATCGGGCTATAGATTAGTACGCAGGTGTACACCGATCTGGTCCAGGATTCACCAACCCTGGCTGTTTTGTCTGGCGAGGGACTGGGTACTTCCAGTTTATTTTTACCAAGGACGAAACAATTATGTTACTCGCTAAGTTTAAGTAAGCAATGTATTACCGGCAAACCAGGGTTGATGAATCCTGGTCCAGATCGTTCTACACCTATGTGCTACTCTATATACCGATCGACAACCGGCAAGACGTCGACCCGTTGGCTCAGTGGATAGGACGT